CAACAACAACAACAACAACAACAACAACAACAACAACAACAACAACAACAACTTAAACACCAACACCAACAACAACAACAACAACAACAACAACAACAACAACAACAACAACAACAACAACAACAACAACAACAACAACAACAACAACAACAAACGGTGGTGCAACCCACCGCCATCCCACCAGCACGCCCAGTCCAACATCGCGCCATGTGGTGGCAGCGACAGCCAGGCATCATCCGTCAACAGGCGCCACCACAACCGCCTCCCCGACCATCGCAACAACAGCAGCAACAACAACACCACCACCAGCAACGCAACGTGCATGTGACGAACCAGCACCCGCAAGTGCTGCATCACTACCCATCACCAGCACACCACCCCATGTTCAAGCAGAGGACAAGGATACAAGCGCCCGCTCAACGCCTGCTTGCGGCCCAGCCTTCCTCACACGTTCGTGTTCACGCCCCGCACGCATTTGGATTCGCCACATCTGCACCCGCAGCGACACACGGCGCAGCCTTCTTTCCAAAAAGCCCCCAACGCAGCACTGTGCAGCCACACAATCAGCCACAGCCCCAACAGGCACCTGCCTTCCACTATCGCCACAAGCAGCAGCAACAACAGCCTCAACCACTGTCACGGCCGCAGCAACAACGACGGGTTGGCGTGAAGGTTTCCACATCGGCGCCACCCGTGATGGCATCACACAAGCGCTTCTCATTCCAAGGACCCGCCGTAACCCTGGGCGCTGCCGCCGCTACATCCCGGTTGCATCCAGCTGCTGCCGCCACTCAACCTCAACAACGGCAGTTCTCGCGACCCCAACACCAACTCGCACAGGTTTGTCTTTCGAGCGCTTCATGCGCACCATGCATTTGTGAGTGAGAGTGAGAGAGAGAGTGTGTGTGTGTCTGTGTCTGTGTCTGCGTCTGCGTCTGTGCGTGTATATGTCCATTGTGTGCATGTGTGTGTATTTGTCCATTGTGTGTGTGTGTGTGTGTCTGTGGATACGTCCATTGTGTACATGTGTATGTAATCAACTCCCTCATGCACTGTTCCACGGACTGTGTGGTACAACCTCACCATCTTGTTGTTGTGTCACCCAGACGGACGGCGAGTTTGAGCTACGGCCACACAGCGATGGAAGATGGTTTGCTCTGAACATTTCCTATGGAAGCGGAACAATCACCCGCATCATTGAAAAGTCGCCCGAAGGTGCGACAGACCACATTATGAACACGTGGTCGACGTTTCTTGGTGCTTCATGTTGTGTGTTGGCTGCTGCGTGCCCAACCCCTACGTTTTTGCCTCTGTTTCCCATTCCGCGCCACTGTTCCCACTGCCACTCATGCTCACCTTGCACACTGCCACTGCAGGCTTCATGGTGCTTGGATCGCAGAGCAAGCGTGCTTTTCCAACGCTGGCAGCGCTGATTGAGCACTACATGGTCCCGTCTGTGGATCTGCCGTGCCCGCTTCGCCGCCGCGCTCGCAAATCCACACATCCGCAAGCATCCGCAGTCACATCCACGCTCGCTTCTCATCTTGCACACTCCCCACAACGCTCAGCCCGCCGTGTCGTGCAACACTGACCCTCGTACGAAACGCAACACAACGCAACACACAATGGTGCAACACGTCGGCTCAACATGCTTGATGATGCAGTGCTCACACGACTGCACCAATCGAACCAGCTCGCGCTGGCTTGTGTTTGACCTCCTCTTCTTTCGCTTCAAGTTGCCATTACACGGTCTCTCTCTTCTCTGTTTGCTCGCTATTCACGTGTCGTGCCTGTATATGGGCTATTTTCGTTGTAGTGCAATGTTGCGACTGTCGACAACCAATGCAAGCAACAGCTGCTGACTTGGATGCTACACCAAAACAAACAACACCACCTGTAGGCAAACCTTCATGGGCACACGACAAACACTGACGAGGGAGGGAGGAATGGGAGGGAAGTTAAGCAACACGGAGAAAATCCACACGCACACACACGCACATCCACACGAAACGAGAAGTAGTGTGGCTGCACATACACATTCACATACACACACACAAACACACGTAGTCTCTGCACCATAACAACCAAGAGTGGGAGAGAAAGGACGAGTGGAAAGTGCCTAGTGGTGATGTGGGGTGCGCTGGCGAGGGGCGGACTTGAGAATGTTGTCCACACGCAGGATCATCTCGGCGGCCTCCTCCGCAGACACAACAACCTGCGACTTGACCTGGAAGCTCTCCGTGATGCCGAGCTGCTGCACGTCGGCAACAGTGCCCGTCTCCATGTCCAGGCCCATCATCTTCTTGCCCTCCGCGTGCGCCGCGCGGAGCTCAGCAACAAGCTGCGTGCTGTCAAAGCCGGCGTTGTCGGCAATGATGGTGGGCAGCTGCTGCAGAGCGGTAGCAAACGCCTGCACATGGAAACGATTGGGGTGTGTGTGTGGGGGGGGGAATGAGACACGAAAGGTGTTTGGTGTTGGGGTGAGGGATGACGGCAAGAGTTACGATATGAACACAGGCAGCGAGTGGTGGGATGTGTGGGGATGTGTGGGGATGTGTGGGAGAAGGGACACGTCACGTGCACTCGTGGACGTGTGCCAGGTGTGTGTTTGTGCTCACAGCCAGCCATTGGCAATCAAGAGCCATTGGCATTGAGAGCACAGCGGGCGCACCTCCATGGCAGTTGCCTCCTTGCCGGGGATGGTGAGCGCCTCCTTCTGAATGGCCGTCGCCATCAGCATCTCGGCGCAGCCTGGAGTGACGGGAAGAGGAAGAGGCGACGAAGGGGAAAAGAGTGTCGACTTGTGTGAGCGCGGAGCTTGCGAGATGTGGATCGCAGCAATATGGGGGAGGCAGGAGCACACAGCCACGCACACAGCCACGCACACAGCCACGCACACAGCCACGCACACAGCCACGCACACGCACACAGCCACGCACACGCACCCAGACACACACGCTGTCATACACAGATACAGGCGCGCGCGCACACTGACATACGCAAAGACAAACAAACAAATACACAAACACGCCGCGGACCTCCGCCAAAGACGGTGCGGGTCTCCTTGACGGTGGAAGTGAGGACGCAGAGGGCGTCGTGGAGAGAGCGCTCGGCCTCGTCGAGAATCTGCTGCGTCGCACCGCGCAGGACAACCGTGCACGCCTCGCCAAGCGCAACGCCAGAGAACTTGATCAGCTGTGGCAACCGAGAGGTAAGAAGGACGACAGGATAAATGGTGAGGACGCGGGAAAACGAGGGTTGCGGTGTTTGTGCACTTGTGTGGTGGTGGTGGTGTCCACACACACGGCTCAAACTGGCACTTCACCGAGTGCAACGAATGGCTCCGAAATCAACGCTCCTCAACACAAAACACACACACACGCACATACACGCACGCACACACACGCACGCGTGTACCTTGTCCTCGCCAATCATGACTTCCTCGATGAGATCGCAGTGGCCAATCTTGACCTTGTCGGGGGTATCAAAGGTGGACACAATCTCGCCGCCAAGCACAAGCGCAAGGCGCTCCACGCCCTCAAAGTCGGCGTGCTCGATGCTCACAATGCCGGCATCCGTGAAGAGCTGATGTGCACGGCGAAAACACAAAGGGTAGGGAGCACAGTGAGGCTTGGAAAATAAGATCTGCCCACGAGCAGGTAAAACACGATGCAGGCAAATGCAAAACATGCACAAAGACATGCCATGCCATCTCTGCTGAACATTATTAACTCATATACCTCCCTCGCTCTCTCTTATTCCCACACAAACACACACGCACAAACACAGCAGTGCGCACCTGCTGCGGGTAATCGTAGATGAGCTGGCGGTTGATGAAGACGTTGATGTCGTGCTTGAGGATGCGGTCAACCTTGTCCTTCATCTTCTTACGCTCCGCTGCCTCAATCTCAGACACCTGCTCAGAGGACTGCACACGCACGCGAGCGCTGTGCACCTTGATCTTGTCCGTGTCCATCTGCGTGTTGGCAATGAGCACCTTTGCGTTCTCGATGCGCTTGGGCTGGTTGATGCCAATCTTCTTGTCAAGCAGAAAGCCCTGTGAACATGCGTGTGTGTGTGAGTATGAGTGAGTATTTGCGTGACCGAGTTGCACTTCAGCACAAGCGGTTGCGACTAGAAGATAATGCCATCACAAACAGATTTGTCAAAGGCGTTGCACCACAAATGTCGTCCACATGCACACACACACACACACACACCTCATCGAGGTAAGAGTCGCGAAGACGGCCGCCAAGCTTCTTGATGACCTGAATGGCCTCCAGGCTGCCGAATTTCTGCACACACATGGAAACACAACATAGACGTGAGGTTTGGAGGTGGTGTGGGAGGAAATGAGTTCAAATACACAATACAACAGCAACTGTTTCAAACATCGGCAACGGTACAGTGCAGCATCGCATGACGTGTACAGTCAACATCGTCACCATCATCACGATAACCACCACCGGCCAGCCACCACAATCGCCACCGCCACCCAAAGCTCAACACCAACGTCACCGCTGTCACCACCGCTGTTGGGATGTGCACCTTGATGCGCAGGACGGCGTCAACGGCGAGCTCCGCAAAGTACTCTTTGCTGGAGGTGAGGATCTTGGAGGAGAGTGTGGTGCGGGCGATGTTGATGAGATCCTTGCGGAAGGCATCGGCATCGGCACCGTTGTCGATGGCTGCCTCCTCAAGGGCACGGCGGGCCGTGGCCGCAGCCCTTCGCCAGCCGGCAATGATCGTCTGGGGATGCATCTTCTGGTCAATCAGCTTCTCGGCCTGGCGAAGGAGCTCCGCCGTGAGCACTGCACGGCCACATCAAGCAAGAAACGGGCCGAGAACGCATGGTGGCGGAAGCAGAGGCAACGCAAACGTGAGAACCATGGATCAGAGCGGGGGATCAACAACGCCACAACGTCACAACACGAAACAGTGCAACCAAGCGGTTCAGACACGATGAATGAATAAGTTGTTGAACCCCCCCCCCAAAAAAAAACAAAAAAAAGTGGTGCAATGCTGCTGTGGTTGCAGTTGAGGCGAGCACGGACACACCTGTAACGCTGGTGGTACCGTCGCCGACCTCGGCGTCCTGGACACGAGACAGGTCGACGAGGACCTTGGCAGCGGGGTTGTCCACGCCAATGTTCTGCAGGATCGTCGCACCGTCGTTGGTCACCTGGACATTGTCGGGATTGCTCGCAGACACGAGGATTTTGTCCTGTGAATCAGCAACACATGCAAACGTGTCAATGCACACCGATGCATTCGTGTGAGTGAACGTGAATGAGAGTGTGTGGGGGGGGGGGTGTAGGATGGAAGAATGTGTTAAGATAAGGAGGAGACACACAAACGAGTCATGCAGAATCGACGCAATCTTCGTCAACATACCATGCCCTTTGGGCCAAGAGTGCTCTTGACGAGATCGCCAACGGCAATGGCACCAATGAAGGAAGACTGCAGAGAAAAACGGATGTGGGTGTGGGGGTGGGGAGGAAGCGGTCAAGATGTTAGTGAATGCAAAAAGTGCGAGCGGAGATGGTGCAGGAAGGTCACAGGCAAACCTGTTGTCAAGTGCTGTGACAACACACACAAACATGCACAAAACACACATGTATGCGTGTGTGCACGTACATGTACCTCATCACACGTTCACACTTTCACATGCACACACACATGCATGCACACGTTTTCACATACATGCACATGTTTTCACACGCCCTCACGAAAGCATATCACTAAGACTTACGAGACGGGCGTTCTCGGCCTTCTCTTCCTCGGCGCCGTGCGCCATGACTTCACCAGGCATCAGTCCCTACGAGCAACACAAACAGTAAGCCAACAGTGAGTGCCACGCCGCAACCAAACAGCAATGGACAGCACGCCAACCGTGCGTACACACACACACACACACGCTCGCATCTCAAAGCACCACGCCACACATTAGAGAGGCATCAACACAAGATAAAACAAAACACACTCGCGTATCAGCACACACATAAAGCATCGCACACAAAGCATCCCACATACTCCGCCCTTTTTCCCTCCCACACACACACACACACACACGACATGACTACATGGCAACATCCCATGTACTGCGTACCAAGCTCATGGTTGGTTGGTTGGTTGAAGAGGGAGGGTTGTTAGTTCAGCGGGCAGGGTGTGTGTGTTGTGCGTGCTGGGTTGTTGTGTGGATTGGCGATCGTTAACGAGGAAGAAAACCCAAAAAAAGGTTCAAGTGACGTTTGCCACAAATCTTCCACCAATAATCGTCGCACATGTGACAGGTTGCCTATTTCGTGCAATAATTTTCGCAAACGGCTGTGTGTGTGTGTGTGTGTGTGTGTGTGTGTGTGTGTGTGTGTGGTGTGTGTGTGTGTGGTCTCGCCCACTTTAGCTCTCCCCAGTTCACATCAGCACATCAAGGACACACGCTTCGTGGTACACACGCATACACACACACGCACACACACACATACGCATACACACACACACACGCACGCACACACACTTGTGTCATTGCACCGTCTGTGCGCGGGGTTCAAGATGCAATGTTTATTGCTGTGCTTTCTCTGATTCGCTTTGAACAACAACGGCAAGACATAAAGAAGAAGAGACACGAAACAAACAACCCACAACACAACTACGACAACATGTAACAGTAGGACGCAACACCACCGCGTTGGGGTGATGGATGCCCCACAACAACACGAAAGTCAAAGTCAAGTCAAGGAAGGTCAAGCAAGGAACAAAGGTCAAACAAGGGAACAAACAAGGCTTTCTGAACATGACACACACACAAGCAAACAGGCAAGCGAACAAACAAACAAACAAACAAACGTGTCAACACACTGCCACAAGCAGAGCTCCACGCGTACATGCGCACACAAACACAAACACAAACACACTCGCACACGCACACACACACACACATTTGATGATTCCGTTAGGGAAGCGCCGCAGAAAACCACATCCAAAAGAGAGCTAAGCGAAAGGAAACAAACAAAACAGAAGGAATGCAACACAGAGAGAGGGTTGGCAAAGAAGACCCCTCGCACAAACGGAGGTGGCTTGGGCAGCCAAACACAAAACAAGAAGACGAGGAGGACGAGGGGGAGGAGGAAGAAGAAGAAAACACGCAGCCAACAAGCGGTACAGCACGCAAGACAGGCCGCGCACGCTGCCGCTATGCTCCGCTATGCTTCGCTGTTCGTTCCATCTGCTCCCCATCCGTTTCCGTCTCTTGCATCTGGCAATCGCTGCCACTCACGTGTTCATTACCTGCGGCTCCTGCTGTTGCTGCGGGCACGCGTGCGCTTCGACCGCTTCGCACTTGGCTCCTCGTCAGACACATCATCCTTGTTGGAGGTGTTCTTCTTGCCCTTTGAGCGCTGGCGCGTGGCGGGCGGAGAGAACATGTCGTGCTCAGCAGGTGCAGGCGTGGTCTCGCGATCGCCCTGCGTCTGTCCCTTGTTTGCGCGCCCACGGGTTGCCTTGGTGCGTGTCTCCTCTTCCTCTTGCTCTTCCCCCTCTTGTTCTTGCTCTTGCTCTTGCTCTTGCTCTTCCTCTTGCTCTTGCTCTTCCTCTTCATTGTCGCTGTTGTGGTCGACGATGGCCAGCAAGCGCTCCTGCAACTCCGCCTTGCGCCCGCGCACTTCTGCACCAACCTCGCTCAGCACGGCACGAAGCTCCGCCACCTTCATGGCCATGATCTGCTCGCGTGACAGCTCAAGGTCAACGTCCTCTTCTTCCTCTTCTTCCTCTTCCTCCTCTTCCTCCTTTTCCTCCTCATCATCATCACTGCCTTCTGCCTCGGCTTCATCTTCCTCAACAGCGTTGCCCTGTGAAGTCTCAGCGTCACTGGCCTCGTTTGCCGTTTCCTGGGCTCCAGCTGCATGTTCCTGCTCTTCCTCTGCCTCCTCCTCCTCCTCCTCTGCGTGCTGTTCGTTCTGATTTGCCTCAGCGCTCGCATCGTTCGCGGCAGAGGCGCGGATGGCATCGAGCAGGCGCTCCTGTAGCTGCTTCTTGCGGCCAGCAGCAGACACGCCAATCTCAGACAGCGCATGTCGCAGATCGTTCATCTTCATGCTCATCACGTCATCCTCTGTCAGCCCAAGCTTGGACGCCGCAGTGTCGTTGCCGCCCTCCTCCTCCTCCTCCTCCTCATTGTCTTCCTCCTCCTCTTCCGCATCAGCAGCAACAGCAGCAGCAGCATCGTCATGTCCTTCATCTGCTGATTCGTCCTCGTCCTCCTCCTCTTGCATGGCAGCGCCAGTATCCTTGTCCTCCTGCTCCTGTCCAACCTCCTGCTCCTCATCTTCCTCGTATTCCTCATCTTCCTCCTCTTCCTCCTCTTCCTCGGTGCGCTCAGGGATGACAGAGAGCTTGCGCTTCTCAAAACTCAGCTTCGGGCCCCGCAACTCGTCCTCGTCGCGAGGGCTGGGCTCCAGGGCAATCGACAGCCGCGACTGCAGCTCCGCCTTGCGGCCGCTGGTGGACAGCCCGCGTGCCTCCAGCTCGGCCCGCAGCTCCTTGCACGTCATCGACTTGACGTCCAGGCGACTGGGCTCCGGGTGGCGCGGTGCGAGCTGCTTGCGCTCCATCTTCTTCTGGCTGGACCGCGTCAGATACGCGCGCTGCGGTGGCGACGCCGGCTCAGGCGTCCGCATGCCATCCTCTGCTTCATCCTCAGCCTCATCATCACCCGCCTGTTCTGCGTTGGGCTGCGCCTTGACGGGCATGCTTGGGGCAGACTCCGTGCCTTCCTGTGCCTGTTCATCGTCGTCGTCAGCTTTCGCCTCATCCTGCATTGCTGCGGCCTTGGCACCATGCTCGTCATCCTCTGCCTGCTCCCGCATTTGCTCGGCTTCGGCGGCAGTTGGCATGGTTTCCTCGGCGGTGGCTGTTGTCTCCTCGGATGTCTGGTCATCGACCTCGGCAGAAGGTGCAGCAGCAGCATCCTGCTCTTGCCCCTCCTCAGCCGTTTCCTCTCCGACTGCGCCCTTGTCCTCGTCGTGCTCTTGTGCCACTTGCGCATTGGGCTCTTCCTCAGCAACACCATCACCACCTTCCTCTTCCTCAAGGACTTCTTCCTCTTCCTCCTCATCCTCATCCTCATCCATCTCTTCATCTTCTTGCTCCTCAGCCTCGTCCTCCTCCATCTCCTCCTCAGCGTCTTCCTCGACTTCCTCGACTTCCTCGACAACCTCCACCACCATTTCATCCTTATCCTGCACAGCCTCCTGCTCCTTCTCCTCCTCATCTTCTTGCTTCTCTTGCTCCTCTTCCTTAACCTCTTCCACAACCTTCTCCACAACCTCTTCTTCCTCGTCGGCAGCTGCTGCCACGGGCTTCAGTGCAACGCCGCGGCGAACAGCCTCCCGTGTGGGCGTGTTCAGGCTCTTCTTGTACAGAGTCTTGAGCGCAATCCCTTGCTGCACCTCCCGCCGCACCGGTGACGGCAGCACGTGCTGTGCCTCGTTGGCGTCTTCGCGTGCCTGTGCGACAATCTCCTCCTGCAGGTGTGCGGGGAGAGCGCGGGCGCGGCTGAGGCGGTAGCGGCGCTCGCGGCGCTTCAGCAGCCGCTGCGCAGCGTTGACGGAGATGGTCACCATCTTTGGGCACTGGTTCAGGGCCCGGCGGATCGGGTGGCACAGCGAGGGGGCATATGGCACAAAGCGAAGCCCGCGGGGGCGAGAGCGCTTGCGCTTCACATTCGCAGCAGCAGCCTTTGCAATGGCCAGTGCCATGGCCTGCTGGTCTTCCTCGTCCTCCTCGTCTTGCTCTGCTTCGTCATCCTCATCATCATCATCATCATCATCATCATCATCATCCTCTGCCGCCACATTGGCGCTGTTGTCTTCCCCCATGGGCATCGAAACGTCTTCCTGCTCAGCCTCAGCGGCACTCGCATCGCTGCCTTCCTCCTCGTCCGCAGAATCGTCTTTTCCCTCTTCCTCTTCTTCCTCCACATCTTCGTCATCGTGCATCACAACAGCAACCTCCTCGACTTGTACGGCCTCGGTCACTTCCTCATCTTCGTCGTGTTCATCCGCAGGTGTAGCCTTCACCTTCTTCAGAGTCACGCCCTCCTTGATCTGCTCGCGCACAGGCGTGTTGAGTGCCTTCTTGTACACCTTGTTCAGCTCCTTGCCTTCCTTCAGCTGCTGACGCACGGGTGTCGCAAGGCCCTTTTTGTACACCTTGTTCAGCTCCTTGCCCGCTTTGATCTGAGCACGCACGGGTGTTGCCAGGCCTTTCTTGTACACCTTGTTGAGGTTGGCGCCGCCTTGGATTTGCTGGCGGAGAGGGGTCGCGAGTGCCTTCTTCTTGGCCTGCGTAGTCTCTGTGTCTTGGGTAACAGTCTTCTTCAGAGTCACGCCCTCCTTGATCTGTTCACGCACAGGCGTGTTGAGTGCCTTCTTGTACACCTTGTTCAGCTCCTTGCCTTCCTTCAGCTGCTGACGCACGGGTGTCGCAAGGCCCTTCTTGTACACCTTGTGCAGCTCCTTGCCCGCTTTGATCTGGGCACGGAGAGGCGTCGCGAGTGCCTTCTTCTTGGCCTGCTTGTCCGTGTCTTGGGTAACAGTCTTCTTCAGAGCCACGCCCACCTTGATCTGCTCGCGCACAGGCGTGTTGAGTGCCTTCTTGTACACCTTGTTCAGCTCCTTGCCTTCCTTCAGCTGCTGACGCACGGGTGTCGCAAGGCCCTTTTTGTACACCTTGTTCAGCTCCTTGCCCGCTTTGATCTCCTTGCGAAGCGGCGTCGACGCTGCCTTCTTGTACACCTTGTTAAGGTTGGCGCCGCCTTGGATTTGCTGGCGGAGAGGAGTGGCAAGCGCCTTCTTCTTGGCCTGCTTGTTCTCCTGCTGCGTGGCTGCAGGCTTTGGGCTGTTGAGGTCAATCAAGTCCTGGTCAGACTCTGTGGAGGCGTCAAGGTTCAGCTTTGGCGGTGTCTGCTGCATCTTCTTGGGCGTGGTCGCCCTGGACTTCTTCTTGCGCTGCGATGTTGGGCGCGAGCCAACCGTCTCACCCGCCTCATCCGACTCTGGAATCCTCTACACACCACAACCACGGACCAACATGCATGTAAGTACCGGGTGCATGCACACATGTGGGCGTGTGTGTGTGTGTGTCTGTGTGTGTGTGTGTGTGTGTGTGTGTGTGTGTGTGTCTGTGTGTGTGTGTGTGTTTGTGTTTGTGTGTGTGTGTGTGTTTGTGTTTGTGTGTGTGTGTGTGTTTGTGTTTGTGTGTGTGTGTGTGTTTGTTTGTGCGCCGTGTGCGCGAGCAGAGGTGTGCCACCGTCTCAACGTGACACTTCCACGGACACACAAGCAATTGGGGGCAAGCGACGACACCTTGAGGATGGGCACGAGGGCGCTCCTGCGCTTGACAGAGACGGGCCGCGGTGATGCACCACGCTTCAGCGGCGTGCTGGGCGGCAAGTCCTTGTCGAAGATCTCTGGAGACAGCGGGTCGGAGAACCCCACGCTACGACGACGTGGTGCGAGCGCAGGGGAGGCGCCCGTGCTGCCCCGCTTGCTGTCATTGGCGGTCGCAGCAGCCGTTGCTGCCTTGTTCTTCTTCTTGAGGGAGCTCTTTGGTAGCTTTGTGGCAGCAGGGGATACCGTGTTGCTGGGTGTCTTTGAGCGGGGGCCGCCGGCACCAGCGTTGCGGTCCTGCAGTGGAGTGGAACGGCGTGAGCTCTTCTTGCTTGCAGACGCGGGGTTGGACTGTTCATGTGGGATGTTGTGCGGTTATGTGTGTGTATGTGTGTGTGTAGGTGGGTGTGTGTGGGCGTGCGCGCAGGGGTGTTGGTGCATTTGGGCATGTGAACAACGGCAACAAGGGAAATATGAACAACAGCCAGAAGCAAGCATGGTGTGGGTGCTGTGCGTATGTGTGCGCACACATCCCAAAAAAAAAAAACACTGCTACAGACAGTGGCACCACGCAAAGCCACAGCTCCAAGCAAGTAACCCAAACGCACACAAACACACGCACACAACACACGCACAGATGCACATAAACAGACGCACATGCACACACGCGCACACACGCACACACGCACACAAACACATGCAGACACGCGCCGTCACACACGTCAACGCACCTTCTTTGGGGTGGAGAGGATACGCTCGTTGGGAAAGTGGAAGCGAAAGCGGCGCTCGGCAATGGTGATGACATCGCCGTCCTTGAGCTCCCGTGACTTGTCAACAACAGCGCCGTTCACCAGCGTCGCATTGTAGCCAGAGTCTGCTGCGATGACAAGCTACAGCAGCAATGAAGGAAACAGTTTGCCACAGGGGGTCCACATGTGAGTTTGGGTGCGAGAAATGAGGCTGAGGACAGCAAAGGTAGTGGTGGTGGTGCAACAATGTCACGAAGCAGGAACGTGCATGCTGGAGTCAAAGCATGACACTGCGGTGCCTTGAGCACGGGCGGAGCAAGCGAGCGTACCTTGCCGCTGTCTCCCTTGCGGATGCTGGCGTGGT